TCACACAGAGACCCATAGACTGACACAGACACCCATAGACTCACACAGACACTCACACAGAGACCCATAGACTCACACAGAGACCCATAGACTGACACAGACACCCATAGACTCCCACAGACACTCACACACAGACTCAGAGACTCACACAGAGACTCACACAGAGACTCACACAGACACTCACACAGAGACTCACACAGACACTCACACAGAGACTCACACAGACACCCATAGACTCACACAGAGACTCACACAGAGACTCACACAGAGACTCACACAGACTCAGAGACTCACACAGAGACTCACACAGACACTCACACAGAGACTCACACAGACACTCACACAGAGACTCACACAGAGACTCACACAGAGACCCATAGACTGACACAGACACCCATAGACTCACACAGACACTCACACAGAGACTCACACAGAGACTCACACAGAGACCCATAGACTGACACAGACACCCATAGACTCACACAGACACTCACACAGAGACTCACACAGAGACTCACACAGAGACCCATAGACTGACACAGACACCCATAGACTCACACAGAGACTCACACAGAGACTCACACAGAGACTCACACAGAGACTCACACAGAGACCCATAGACTGACACAGACACCCATAGACTCACACAGACACTCACACAGAGACCCACACAGAGACTCACACAAAGACTCACACAGAGACCCATAGACTCACACAGAGACCCATAGACTGACACAGACACCCATAGACTCACACAGACACTCACACAGAGACCCACACAGAGACTCACACAGAGACTCACACATACAATCACACACACACACCTACACACTCACACACCTACACACACACACACGCGTGTGTGAGTGTGTACACACACACACAGACACTCACACATACAATCACACAAACACACCTACACACTCACACACCTACACGCGTGTGTGAGTGTGTACACACACACACAGACACTCACACATACAATCACACAAACACACCTACACACTCACACACCTACACACACACACACACGTGTGTGAGTGTGTACACACACACATAGACACTCACACACAGACACTCACACACACAATCACACAAACACACCTACACACTCACACACCTACACACACACACACGCGTGTGTGAGTGTGTACACACACACACAGACACTCACACATACAATCACACAAACACACCTACACACTCACACACCTACACACACACACACGCGTGTGTGAGTGTGTACACACACACATAGACACTCACACACAGACACTCACACACACAATCACACAAACACACCTACACACTCACACACCTACACACACACACACACGCGTGTGAGTGTGTACACACACATAGACACTCACACACAGACACTCACACACACAATCACACAAACACACCTACACACTCACACACCTACACACACACGCGTGTGTGTGTACACACACACATAGACACACACACAGACACTCACACACCTACACACACACACACCTACACACTCACACACCTACACACACACCCGCGTGTGAGTGCGTACACACACACATAAACACTCACACACACAATCACACAAACACACCTACACACTCACACACCTACACACTCGCACACACCCGCTTGTGTGTGTACACACACACATAGACACTCACACACAGACACCCACACGTACAATCACACACACACACCTACACACTCACACACCTACACACACACCTGCGTGTGTGAGTGCGTACACACACACATAGACACTCACACACAGACACCCACACGTACAATCACACACACACACCTACACACTCACACACCTACACACACACCTGCGTGTGTGAGTGCGTACACACACACATAGACACTCACACACACAATCACACACACACACCTACACACTCACACACCTACACACACACCTGCGTGTGTGAGTGCGTACACACACACATAGACACTCACACACAGACACCCACACGTACAATCACACACACACACCTACACACTCACACACCTACACACACACCCGCGTGTGTGAGTGCGTACACACACACATAGACACTCACACACAGACACTCACACATACAATCACACAAACACACTCACACACCTACACACACACCCGCGTGTGTGTGTACACACACACACAGACACTCACACACCTACACACACACACACCTACACACGCATGTGTGAGTGCGTGCGTCCTGACCCTCACCTCTTCCTCCTCACCCTCCTCTTCCTCCTCCTCCTCCTCCTCCATTTTCCCACCACCAGCAGCACCATCACCACAACCATCACAACCACCATCACCACCACCACCAGCAGCATCACCACCACCACTACCACTTCCACCACCACTTCCACCATCACCACTACCAGCACCACCACTACCACCAGAACCACCACGACAACCATCCCCACCACCATCATCACCACCACCATCATCACCACCATCATCACCACTACCACCATCATCACCACCAGAACCACCACTACCACCACTACCACCACCACCACTATCACCACTACCACCACCACTACCACCGCCACTACCACCACTACCACCACTACCACCACCACTACCACCACCACCACCACTACCACCACCACCACTACCACCACCACTACCACCACTACCACCACTACCACCACCACTACCACCACCACTACCACCACCACTACCACCACTACCACCACTACCACCACCACTTCCACCACCACTTCCACCATCATCACCACCATCATCACCACTACCACCATCATCACCACCATCATCACCACTACCACCATCATCACCACTACCACCATCATCACCACCACTACCACCATCATCACCATCATCATCACCATTATCACCATCATCATCATCATCACCATTATCACCATCATCACCACTACCACCATCATCACCACCATCATCACCACTACCACCATCATCGCCATCATCATCACCATTATCACCATCATCACCATCATCACCATCATCATCACCATCATCACCATCATCATCACCATCATCACCATCATCATCACCATTATCACCATCATCACCACCATCATCAGCATCATCACCATCATCATCACCATTACCACCATTACCACCACCACCATCTTCACCATCACCACCACCATCACCAGCTCCTCTTCCACGTGCCCACGTCTCGGCCTCCCCCCCCGCCCAGCGGCGACACTCGCTCTGGATCTGTGGGAGGCAGAGAGACAAAGTGCCCAGCGCTCCTCCGTGTCACCACCATCATCATCATCATCACCACCACCACCACCATCATCATCATCATCATCACTACCATCGCCATCGCCACCACCATCGCCACCACCAACATCATCACCACCATCATCACTACCATCGCCACCACCATCGCCACCACCACCATCATCATCACCACCATCGCCACCACCATCATCATCACTACCATCGCCATCGCCACCATTGCCACCAACATCACCACCACCATCGCCACCACCAACATCATCACTACCATCGCCATCGCCACCACCAACATCATCACCACCATTGCCACCACCAACATCATCACTACCATCGCCATCGCCACCATCGCCACCACCACCACCATCGCCACCACCAACACCATCACTACCATCGCCACTAACATCACCACCACCACCATCGCCACCACCAACATCATCACTACCATCGCCACCACCGCCACCACCAACATCATCACCACCAACGCCACCATCGTCACCATCGCCACCACTCCGACCACCACCGTGGTGGTGGTGGGTCACACACACCCCCACACAGACACCCCCACACACATCAGGGTCACACAGACACCCACCCACACAGACACCCACACAGTCACACACACACACACCCACACAGACACCCACCCACACAGACACCCACACCCACACAGTCACACACACACACAGGCTCACACACACAGGGTCACACACGCAGGGTCATACACACCCGCACAGTCACACACACACAGACACCCACACACACACACACAGTCACACACACACACAGGCTCACACACGCAGGGTCATACACACCCGCACAGTCACACACACACACACACCCACCCACCCACACAGGCACCCACCCACACACACCCACACCCACACAGTCACACACACACAGGGTCACACACAGGGTCACACACGCAGGGTCATACACACCCAGGGTCATACACACCCGCGCAGTCACACACAGACACCCACCCACACACACCCACACCCACAGTCACACCCACACAGGGTCACACACGCAGGGTCATACACACCCGCAAAGTCACACACACACACATACTCCCACCCACACAGACACCCACATACACACAGTCACACACACACAGGCACCCACCCACACAGACACCCACACACCCAGTCACACACACACAGGCTCACACACACAGGGTCACACACATCCGCACAGTCACACACACACAGTCACACCCACACAGACACCCACACAGTCACACACACACAGGCACCCACCCACACAGACACCCACACACCCAGTCACACACACACAGGCTCACACACGCAGGGTCACACACACACCCGCACAGTCACACACACGCAGACACCCACCCACACACACACACCTGTGGGCACGCTGCAGGCTCACACACACAGGGTCACACACACCCACACACACACAGTCACACACACACAGACACCCACCCACCCACACACACACACACAGACACCCACCCACCCACACACACCTGTGTGCACGCTGCAGGCTCACACACACAGGGTCACACACACCCACACACACACAGTCACACACACACAGACACCCACCCACACACACACACACAGACACCCACCCACCCACACACACCTGTGTGCACGCTGCAGGCTCACACACACAGGGTCACACACACCCACACACACACAGTCACACACACACACACAGGGTGACACACACACACAGTCACACACACACAGGGTGACACACACAGCTGTGTGCACGCTGCAGACTCACCGTGTTCTGTGTCTTCGTCCTCTTACTGCTGCCCAGAGACGGAGCTGTGGGCAACCACGTGACACAGTGACACCCACCCACAGTGACACAGTGACACCCACCCACAGTGACACCAGTGACACCCACCCACAGTGACACAGTGACACCCACCCACAGTGACACAGTGACACCCACCCACAGTGACACCAGTGACACCCACCCACAGTGACACAGTGACACCCACCCACAGTGACACAGTGACACCCACCCACAGTGACACAGTGGACACCCACCCACAGTGACACAGTGACACCCACCCACAGTGACACTCAGTGACACCCACCCACAGTGACACTCAGTGACACCCACCCACAGTGACACTCAGTGACACCCACCCACAGTGACACAGTGACACCCACCCACAGTGACACAGTGACACCCACCCACAGTGACACAGTGACACCCACCCACAGTGACACAGTGACACCCACCCACAGTGACACAGTGACACCCACCCACAGTGACACAGTGACACCCACCCACAGTGACACAGTGACACCCACCCACAGTGACACAGTGACACCCACCCACAGTGACACAGTGACACCCACCCACAGTGACACAGTGACACCCACCCACAGTGACACAGTGACACCCACCCACAGTGACACAGTGACACCCACCCACAGTGACACAGTGACACCCACCCACAGTGACACAGTGACACCCACCCACAGTGACACAGTGACACCCACCCACAGTGACACAGTGACACCCACCCACAGTGACACAGTGACACCCACCCACAGTGACACAGTGACACCCACCCACAGTGACACAGTGACACCCACCCACAGTGACACAGTGACACCCACCCACAGTGACACAGTGACACCCACCCACAGTGACACAGTGACACCCACCCACAGTGACACAGTGACACCCACCACAGTGACACAGTTACACCCACCCACAGTGACACAGTGACACCCACCCACAGTGACACAGTGACACCCACCCACAGTGACACAGTGACACCCACCCACAGTTGACACCAGTGACACCACCCACAGTGACACTCAGTGACACCCACCCACAGTGGACACTCGTGACACCCACCCACAGTGACACTCACCCACAGTAACACCCACAGTGACATTCACCCACAATGACACTCACCCACAGTGACACTCACAGTGACACCCACCCACAGTGACACTCACAGTGACACCCACAGTGACACTCACAGTGACACTCACAGTGACACTCACAGTGACACCCACAGTGACACAGTGACACTCACAGTGACACCCACAGTGACACTCACAGTGACACTCACTCACAGTGACACTCACAGTGACACTCACAGTGACACCCACAGTACACCACAGTGACACTCACAGTGACACTCACAGTGACACCTCACAGTGACACTCACAGTGACACTCACAGTGACACTCACAGTGACCCACAGTACACCACGTGACACTCACAGTGACACCCACAGTGACACTCACAGTGACCCTCACTACACCAGTGACACTCACAGTGACACTCACAGTGACACCCACATGACACTCACAGTGACACCCACAGTGACACCCACCCACAGTGACACTCACAGTGACACCCACAGTGACACTCACCAGTGACACTCACAGTGACACTCACAGTGACACTCACAGTGACACCCACCCACAGTGACACTCACAGTGACACTCACAGTGACACTCACAGTGACACCCACAGTGACACTCACAGTGACACCCACAGTGACACTCACAGTGACACTCACAGTGACACCCACAGTGACACTCACAGTGACACTCACTCACAGTGACACTCACAGTGACACTCACAGTGACACCCACAGTGACACTCACAGTGACACCCACAGTGACACCCACCCACAGTGACACTCACAGTGACACCCACAGTGACACTCACAGTGACACTCACAGTGACACTCACAGTGACACCCACCCACAGTGACACTCACAGTGACACTCACAGTGACACTCACAGTGACACCCACAGTGACACTCACAGTGACACCCACAGTGACACCCACCCACAGTGACACTCACAGTGACACCCACAGTGACACTCACAGTGACACTCACAGTGACACTCACAGTGACACCCACCCACAGTGACACTCACAGTGACACTCACAGTGACACTCACAGTGACACCCACAGTGACACTCACAGTGACACCCACAGTGACACTCACAGTGACACCCACAGTGACACTCACTCACAGTGACACCCACAGTGACACTCACAGTGACACTCACAGTGACACTCACAGTGACACCCACAGTGACACTCACAGTGACACTCACTCACAGTGACACTCACTCACAGTGACACTCACAGTGACACCCACAGTGACACCCACAGTGACACTCACTCACAGTGACACTCACAGTGACACTCACAGTGACACTCACAGTGACACCCACAGTGACACTCACAGTGACACTCACTCACAGTGACACTCACAGTGACACTCACAGTGACACCCACAGTGACACCCAC